AGTTCTAACCGCTAATTCCAAATTTTCAAAAGCACCCTTGAGTCAAAAGCAACACTTCTTCAGGCCAAAGACCACTAGTTTGCACCCTTGGTCTTGGGTGGAAGTCGAGCAAAGGCAGAGAGTCTTAGGGAACAGGTGGCTCCAACTAGTAGTAACTTCAGGGCAGAAGGGAAACTCCTATAATAGCTAAGTTACACTTGATCCTTTGGATGCTAGGATTTGGATCATAATTTTGGGTGAACTAATATCTTATTATCTGATTTTAGTATATATTCATTCATTTGCTCATTCATTCATTCATTCATCAAACATTAGTAAATGGCTTTGGGTGGCTGAAACACTGGTTTACTCAGTTTAAAAATGGTTCCCATGTGGCCAGCCTTTTAGGGCCTTTCAGTCTGGTGGCACCTGAATGGCCTTTGTACTGTGAGTACAATGCTTCCTGTGAAAATGCTGACCTTTGATAACACTAAATAGGTACATTTGATTAGTCAGAGGCTCACTTGGACACATTTCTGAGGGTAGTAATGGAAGGATGTCATTGAGGTACTATAGACACATCAGTTACATCTAGAATATCAATTTGGCTTTGCATTGTGCATGTTTTCTGTTTCAGAAGGTGCTCTGTTTCATGCCTGTATAAAACCTTTGTTTCAACTGAAGAATCATCATCTTTCTGCTGTTATGAAAACCGTCCTGTAGGTGGCACCATTTGCACCTCTCTGAGTCTCCCTGGGCCTGCTTGCCCATCATCATCACCAGCAAGGCCACTTTATTGTTTGGCCAGATAGCTGTGCCAGCAAGCTCTGCACAGAGCAGTTCTTTTTCAGCACTTGTAGGATCTGCAATGCTTCAGGATGACTTTTAATTGGCCTTTCAGGTGACTGCCTTGTATCTAGCCATATTCTTTAGAGTTGCTTTGAATGGTGGCCTGGATACCTGCTCCTTCTGAACTCCTAGCAATCCTTTCTCTATACTGTACGTTAGCAGCAAGTGCTTCTCATTTCTGGTTGTTGCTTATTCTTTTATGCATGTGGACTGTCTGCCCAGATAGATTATTAAGCCTTTAAGGGCTTTGTATACCTCAGGCATCTGTCACAGTGCACTGCCTGGGACAGGCAGGCTGTGAGTGTTTGTTGTTGATGGAGGTTCCGGTATCCATTTGTTTATTTATCACTTCCTGTCTGTTCTAGGATAGTCACTTTTTTAGGTATCCTGAAAAGTTATGAAAAAGAAGGTCTGTACTCTTGAGCAGCTCCTAATTGAGAGAGAGAGAGAGAGAAGGAAATGGACAATTACAGTGATGTGGTGTGGTATATGCTGTGAAAGAGCCAGGCTAAGTGATTCTGGGAACAGGAGTGCAGGCTTTTCCTTCCCCAGAAGCTCCTTCTATAAGAGTGCAACCTTTTTACTCCTAGAAACTAAACTATGCCTTTGGCCATTTTTCTTTTTCAGATCCCAAAAGACAGGGTGATATGATCATGGGGGTAGGTATCTGAATCAGGAGACCACAGAAGCGGTGAGAGACTTCCCATGTTCCTCTGGCCTTCAGTGTTCAAGCTGCTAGGGTTTTGTGGTTTGCTTTTCATCTATCTAGTAATTGCCCTTGAATTCTCAAAATGGGTTATCATCACACTTTGTTTGGGGTGATTTGGACTTACTGATTTACTTTTTAGTGGTAAGATGCACCCAAATGTCCTCTTTCCTGTGACATCTTCTCCAGTTCTCTGGAACAGAATGAATGATTCCTTCCTTTTTATATCTTTAGATGGTTACTTCTTTTTTGATTTTAATACAAATCGATTTCATTTTGTCTTTCATTATAGCTGTTAACAGCCACATATCGCTTTAAGACTATCTGCCTATTGAGGGCAGGATCATAATGTATTCATCTTAGTATCTCTCTCTTCCTGCACTTTCACTTTATTTACAAATAGGAGGCAATAGATGAGTGTTTGTTGATTTAAGGAACTAGGACTTTGTAACATCCATGTTTTAGTTGCATATTTTAAAGAGTATTTGCCTCTAGAACATGGTCAACAACTTCAGTGGTTTCTACATGGATTGTTTGCTTGACTTAGGTTGTATGAATATTTGCTTGGCAAATGCTTTCCCGATCTATATGCAAAGATTCCCATGTTCCAGCCCAGCTCTCAGTCCAGACTGGGAATTTTCTTTTCCTGTTTCCTTCTGGACAACATACACAACTTTATCATTATAATGTGTTGGTTTTCCTTACTTCCTGATTTCTTCCCAATATTTGAAACATCTTCCTATTGATTTGTCTTATCCATTCAAATACCTACTAATGCCAAGGAGTGTCCCTGATGCTTGGGATTCAGGGGTGACAAAATAGACTTTGACTGTATCTACAGTGGATTGAAACAGTTTAATTCCTTTCCTTAAAAAATAGGTCAGTTCAGTTAAAATGCAATGAAATGAATTCAGTAACCTTGTAGGTTGACTGCACAGTCTAGAGACATATTCTCCAAAATCTCAGAGGATCCTTGGCTAGGAAACCCAAACACTTGAAGCTTCCTGACAATCATTTGACTTTCTAGTGTTTTGTATATCTCTGAAACATATATGTACACATATACATACACATATGTATATATGTGCAAATTTATAATTTTTCCTCCAAAGCCATTTAAAATTTCTGCATATTAAATTTCAATCTTTAATTTCATTAGTCACTTAATTTTAAATTTTAATTTCACAGCAAGTGTAGAGGCTTTCTGTAGGCATTCACATGAACGGAGTGATGTTTGTCCTTGCTGCTCTCCTGCCCAAGGTGAAATTGAACTATTTTCTAGACTAAATATTCTCTTAAAAAGGGAGCCTAAAAGGTAGATCTTATGTTTTCATGACTTGTTTTATCTAAGTCCTGAGAGAGAAAGAGAGAGGGAGAGAGAGAAGGAGTGAGTCAAGGGGTAGAGGTAATGGCAAATGAGAGAAGGTAGTCACACACCTGTCATCCAAGAACCCTATATGGGTTCTTGACCTGCAAGCAACAGCACAGTCACGACCTGACTTTATACTTTGGATCAGCAGGTTGCAGCAGAGACATCTCAGAGAAAACATGAAATATTGAAAAGGGATCCCTTCATAAAATACAATTTACTTTCAAGATCTCGGGTTCCATTAAGGTAGGAAGCAATGAGTTTTACCTCTTGTAGCTATTAGATCAAATAAAACCTGAATGAGCAAGGAGATTTTGGGGCCCATTTTTCAGTCCTATAACACACCAAAACATGCAAACAACATTGTTAAGTAAACTTCCCAATTGGAACTGGAAAAATACTAGAATAACATTTTGCTGGGCGATCTTGGCTTTCCCACTTATCTATTTTACTCTATTTTTTCCTCATTATTTTGCATTTTTTTCAACAGTCATCCATAGTTCAGTCTCTGTCCAGAGGATAAATTTGATTACTTGTCTATTAAACATCCTGTACCTTTTCAAAAAGACAATGTGTAAAAAACAAACATACAAACAAACCAATAAACAACCTCAACGGCATGAAAAGTTGGAAGCTATCAGAAGCTCTTGGAAACTTGGGCAGCTTCACTTTTCTGCTTAGGATTTAGGTTTGTATGTCCAGTAACCTTGTGGACAGTTTCGTCTATCAATCCCCTCCGCCCCCCATCCCAAACCTAAGACAACTGCTTCTCTTCCCGAGTCGCACACCACGACTGAGTGTATCTTATTTTCCATGACTGAACTGGGGTCAGAGGTGGGCGAGATACTTCCTAACCGAATGGCGTTTTAGAAATAGGAAAGGGAAAGAATATAGAAGTGGATGCGGAGTGGCTCTGCGGGCAGATCGGCACTGTCCGGAAGCTGGCGGCACGAGCTGGCGGCTCGGCTTGGCCCCGAGCACCAAGGCTACCTTCTCCGAGCCGCACCGCAGTGGTGCGAGGAGCTCGCGGGGGTCGAATCCCGCGGCCTCCTGGAGGGCGGAGGCCGCGTTCCGGGGCTGGTGGGCTTAAAGACTAGCAGAAGCCGCCATATTCCCGCTTTACCAGTCCCGGCAGCCGGCGGGCAGCGGCAGGTTGGCGGTGGCCCGGGCAGAGCCTCAGCAACCCGGCCCCGCCCCCTGCGGAGGCGGCCGTGACCGCTGCGCCCGTTGGCCCCGCAGAGGGCGCGGGAGCGGGAGGCGCCCGTAGAGCCGGAGGGGGCGGACCAGCGGGCAGCAGCGCGGGCTAGGCGAGAGCCGCACTGGGAGGCGCGCGCTGCGGCTGCGAGCCCTGGAGAGCCTTCCAAGAGGGGCCGGGCGGCACCGCCTCCCTGCTCCCTCCTCCTCTTCCACCACCTCCTCCTCCGCCTCCTCCGCCCGCCTCCCTCTCCCTCCCGGATCTGTGCTCCAGTTCAGAGAAAGAAGAAAATGTGTGTGTGTGGCGAGGGGGAGGGCGAGCACTGAGCAGCCGCTCCGCGCCTGGCAATCGGGGCCGGGGGTGGGCGCCTGGCGGAGGTGGAGGCGGAGGCAGAGGAGCGCGCGGCGTCCCGGCGGGCGGTGGGCGCGGGCAGGGCGGAGGGCGCCCAGGAGCCGTGTCAGGAGGCAGCGAGGAGCGGGCGCGCCGGGCACTGGGAGCTGTCGGCGGCCGCTCTCTGCGGAGACGCCCCGGTGGATGTGCTCTCGTCGTCCGGTGCAGGGCTTAGGGGAGCCTCGGCGGCAGCGGCGGCGCAGGGGGCGAGGCGGGCCGCCCTTTGCCGGGGAAGGAAGCCTGGGCGTCTGAGCGAGGCCGGGCGCGGCGGCCTTTCCTTGCGCGCCCCCCGAACCAGCCTACCGCGCCCGCCTTGTTCTTGCCGGCGGCCCCAACCTTCCGCTCCTGACGCACCCCCGGCCCTGGCCGCGGCAGTTCCCGGAGCTCGTCCCGGACGCACGCCCGGGCGGCGGGGGCTCTACGGCCACCGCTGCCTCGGGGGAGCGAGGGCGGGAGGGTGTGTGTGCGTGCGTGTGAGCAAGGGGTGCCGGCTGGGCTGTAGAGGAGGCACTTTGGAAGAATGACTCTGGAGTCCATCATGGCGTGCTGCCTGAGCGAGGAGGCCAAGGAAGCCCGGCGGATCAACGACGAGATCGAGCGGCAGCTCCGCAGGGACAAGCGGGACGCCCGCCGGGAGCTTAAGCTGCTGCTGCTCGGTGAGTACCGCCCGGGGCCGGCAGCTGCACACCCTCCCGCCGGGCCTCGGCGCTGCCCACCTGCCAACCCCGGGCTCCTGGGTCGCTGCCCTCAGTAGCCCCCGCCCCCGGGAGCCCCTGGCTGGTCATTACCCTCCCCAGGCGCGCCCCCGGCCACTACCCGCACCCGTTCCGGCGCGCGCTCCCGCGCGCACACGCGCGGGCACACGGGAGTCGGGCTGCCCTGCCCAGGTCCTCAGATTGTGCCTTTGGGTATTCATGAGGGCTATGCATTCGGCGTGCGCCTTTATCTGCTGTGCACCAGCTGAATGGCAAAACACTTGGTGGGGGGCAGACGCAGGGGGTGGGAAAGGTGAGCAGAGGGGTTGAACTTCCATTGTCGAGGCCGCGGCGTGCCGTGGGGTGGCGGAGTGAGGAGCTGTGTGTTTGTGGCCCGAGGGTGCGAGCAGAGTCTGGGCGCGTTGGGGGATGGTTTTTGGCTGGGTGGCCTGTGTGCAACCATTATCAGTGCCTTCTGGGGTCCGGAGGGAATGGTGGAACGGCGGACAGACTCGATAGCGACTGCATTTTCCAAGGAGTGATGATGTAGGAACCCAGTGCTTGGCTCTCCAAAGAAAGGAGGCTTGTGTATTGGGGGGGCCGGAGGAGGGCGGAGGCAAGCCCAAATGTGTTACCCAAGTGCTGTTCTCTAGCCACCTGATCATCGAAAGGAGGGACCCCAGAAGAGTTTGTTGACCAGTGGATGGTGACAGGCGTGTTTCTTGTCTGCACCATTCCTTCCAGATGAAGATGAGTGATAGGTGAGCGCTGTGCTGTGTGGTTGTTGACAACCACGGTATCTTTTTTTGTAATAAGGTAACCCAGACGTAGGCCTGTATTCACAATAGTTAATACTGAAAACCAGTGTGCCTCTCAGTTACTCTCATGGAAACAAATAAAAACCTTTTGTTTAAAACGGACAGTATTTCAGTATGTTTAGAATCTGGGCTAGAAGGAAAACGGGAAATTACAGCAAAAATTTCTCTTTAATCTCTAAAAAAAACAATTTAACATTCTTCCTTAACACTAACTTAGTAAGACAATGGTGGTTCTCAATTCAGAATTCTATTGATTATTATCTCTGAGAGAATGTTCATAGTAAACGATCAGGGGTCACATACAAGCCAGCAAGCCATAACTCTTAGCTATTGTGGGAAGAGCAAACAGCTTTGCAGTTACAGGACTGAAAAATGCTTGCATTTGTGTCCAGGATATTTGCGTGTATAATACGTTTCTTATACGTTTCTGGAGGAAAATAATGTATTGTCAATTCAGATTTGAGAAACATTCATTTTCTTTCATGAGTATTCCATCTCCTGGTTCAAGGATCCAATTGCCTTTTGTACTGAACTGCTTATATGTGGGATCATTTACAAGCAGGAACAAGATATAATGATCACAAATAGTTACAAATAGTGAATTCACATGCCCTGTTTTATGTCTTCATTGTGAAACCAGACTAGATAAATGTGCACATTTATAAAGAACAGAAGGCAAAAGCGCTGAATAAGTGGGCTTTAGGAAATGAAGCCAAGGATGGGGAAGTGCAATGGGAAAAGGAAGATCTTTTTAAATTTTTGTTCTCATCTTGGGCTATTTCTAGTGACTGAAAACATGTAGTTGAATGTCTCCTGAATTCTCACTGTTGGGAAGAAAATAGGGCAAAAAAAAAGTATATAAGGTGTTTATGTGCAGAATTAAGGGAAAATCATGTATTTTAGAGAATCTTAATAACTGTTTTCTTTTTCTCTGTTTTACAGTCTTGACTTGTTTCTGTCTGTCTCTGAATCCACATTTGAGGTCTCTCAAGCCAGGCCTGTTGCCTGAAGTGTGACAGCTCTGGGTTCCTAGCAGCTCTGAGTTAGAGCCAGGGGGGTTTGTCTGAGGATCTGGTTTCAATGTCTAGGAGGACTTGTGGGGAAATACACATATATGGATGCTTAATTACATACTGTGTATTTTAGTAGCATGCAGTGTTTTAAAAAATGAACTTGGAGATAGGAAAAAAAGTAAAACAATTTCGCTGCTAAAGTGGTGGTAGTGTGGAATTTTTTTTTTGTCTCATTAGATACTTGAGTAGGGTTTAGTACACCCCCACCCCAGCCCCCAATATGGCCTATTAGAAGCAGTAGAAAATATGACTTTCATTTAGGACCTACATTTATCAGTAACATATAAAAATTATACAACTTTCTGTTAAAAATATGATGCCTGGACGTCATATAAGATTTGCTACAGCTTCATGTCCTAGGTGTGTTGCTTTGGTAACATAACTTCTATGATATCTACACTATTAATATAGTAAATGCTATATGCTAAATGTAAGTTTGTGTGTGTGGTTGGGCATGTGATTGATTTCAGGATTTTTTCAGTCCAGGAGAGAAATGATACTTGATATGAACAAGGGATAGTATTGGGGTGGAGTTCCCGCTGAGGAACTCCTGACCTCTGCTGTTTTCATGAATCTTGATATTCCTTCACTCATTTAAATGACACCTATCCAAAGGAGGTTATAGATATATTATTTTACAGTTTAAAGGGTCACCAATATTTTTAACTAGCTTATTGAAACTGAGGATTTGCCCTTATATTTAAATAATATTCCTGACACCATTTTAATGGAAACTGATTTATATGGCCAGAGACCCTTGCATTAGTTCACATAATTATTTAATTTTATATATTAATAGTATGGAGAAATTATTGTAGAAAGTGAAAATAGTGGTTACCTGCCTTGATGAAAGGATGGCAATAAAATTTGGGCTATTTTGAATCATATCCAGCAATTATACCATTATGTTCCAAATTCTGCAATACTTATGTATACTGATTTTTCATTCTTTTTAGAAATGAACTCAGCCCTGACTGGTGTGGCTCAGTAGATTGAGTACCTGCCTGCTAACCAAGGGTCAACAGTTCAATTCCTAGTCAGGGCATATGCCTGGGTTGTGGCCCAGGTCCCCTATAGGGGATGTGGGAGAGGCAACTACATATTGATGGTTCTCTCCCTTTTTCTCCCTCCCTTCCCCTCTGTCTAAAAATAAATAAATAAAATCTTAAAAAAATAAAAATGAACTCTAAACTTACTACCATAAAATATCATATTTAATTCTGAATTTTTTTCCTTTAACTGATTCATTCTCTAAATTCATTTTTACTAGTGTTTATTTCTTTGACACCTTTAAAAACTTTGTATTCTACACATGTATGCAAGAGAATACTTCAACTTAGTTGAAGTTTTTATGTACTTCCTAGGTGTATAATACATTATATTTTCTTTAATTGATTAATGTTCATGAATATTAACTACATATTTCTATTGGTGGTACATAGGTCACACTATAGATCAATAACATCAGTGTCTTTAAGTCTACATAAAAGAAGTGGCTTTGAATGTCTGATTCTAGTCACAGATATTCATACTGAAAATTTTTTTGATTTCTTGAAGAAATATTTTTTTCCTATTTACCTGTTCTGATTTTGCATGTTTTTGAAATCTTTACTCTTCAGATCATAATCATCCAATAAGGAGATGTATCAAACCTATTTATTTCTTGAATTCCACCTTTTGAAAACAGGCATAGTTTAGGCCAGTCTTAGATGGAAGAATGTATGTTCTTGGTCTTCTAAGTGAATTACAGGTGTGACGATAGATTTTCTGTCTATTACAGACTGGAAGCTTATGAAGGTAGGGTTTGTGTCTCTATTGGCCACTGTGAAATTCCAGCTTCTAGCACTGTATCTAACTTACAGAATTCTCCCAGTATTTGTTGAATGAGTAAATTTACTTATGATCCTCCTGATAGAAATCATAAAATAATGAATACATTATAGAGACACAAGGATTTGTAATGTCTTTAATTTGTGGCAGATAAACTCATGATCTTTTTTAAAAAAATTGTATGTAACTCTTTGAGCCAAATGAATACAAATGAATTCCAGGATAGGAAGTGTTAGTGTAAAATGCAACATCACGCATCAGACCAACGTGTTACAGTTCTTTGCTGGGTGCCTTTGGGAATACCAGTCATGCTTTAAGTATGAAAGTTTAGGGTTGGGAGGGTGGGCTGGATTGGGAGTAAAAGGGAGAAAACTGTACTTGAACAATGATTAAAATAAAAAAAAAAGAAAGTTTAAAGAAAATAAAAAGGAAACCATTCCATGCCTGGTGTCGTGTAGAAGCTAGTTTATCTCTTTTTGCCATACACTTTTCTCTGTGATACACTTGTCAGAGTACAGGTGGTGACTGAACAGATTTTTAAGATTTACTTATCAACAACAAGAGGAGAACCACAGTTATTGAATACAGAATTTTAGGAATTGCAAGTAGATCATTTTAAATTTGAGAGGTACGTATATGCATTGAAAACTGTACTGCACAGGAAGGGGCATAGAAGCCTGGGAGTGCCCTGACGAATTTAGACTGTATGGAGGGCTCATTCACACAGGTCTGGATAAAAACACCCTCCCCACTACCCCTCCACAGAGTTCACTGGAGGAAGAATGGGGATGTTGATTGCCTGAATTAACCTAGAGGTCAGTGGCTGTCTAGGATGGCTACCCAGACCACAAAATGAAAGCACCCCTCTAAGCGGCCCTAATAACAGCATCTCCCTGGAAATGCCAAAATATGGTGTTTAAGAGGCTGCTTTATGACCAGACTGGTTTTATTTTTGCTACTCTTTGAGCTTTCAAATGTTGAATGTGTTTCTAAATGTCAGGATTTATTTGGACTTGTTTCCTCTTTTTTCTTCCTTTTTTTTTCTGGAAAAAAGTGCTTATAGTTTATATCTGAAGAGTGAAGTGGGAGCATCCCTCCTACAAATCACTAACTGACTTGTAACAAAGCCTTTCGGAAGAAGGTTTTGCGTTAAGCCGTGTGAATTCATTGTCTAGAGCTGCCATATTAACTGTCAGCCCCTGTGCTAGTTCTTTGTATGGGAGCCTTGGCACAAATTAAA